GTCTCCAGGCTCTGAGAACACAGGGCTCTATACTCCCCCACACTCCAGGCTCTGAGAACACAGGGCTCTATACTGTCTCCAGGCTCTGAGAACACGGGGCTCTATACTCCCCCCCCCTCCAGGCTCTGAGAACACAGGGCTCTATACTCCCCCCCGCCTCCAGGCTCTGAGAACACAGGGCTCTATACTCCTCAAGACTCTGAGAACACAGGGCTCTATACTGTCTCCAGGCTCTGAGAACACAGGGCTCTATACCACTCAAGGCCCCTGGGCTGTCTCACCTGTAAGCAGCAATCTCGATATCCAGGGCCATCTTGACATTGAGCAGGTCCTGGTACTCTCGGAGCTGTGCCGCCATCTCCCATTTGGTGTTTCTCAGCTCACTGTCCAGCTGCTGAATAGCGTCCTGGGGATGACAGATCAGGCAAAGTCATCTGCCAGCCAGTACCTGGCCCTCAGTTCAGGTAAGCTGGGGCCACCCTGCTTAGCCACCTGACTGGGGACAAAGCCCCTGACCCTGTCAAAACCACAAGCTGCTCATGTATAGACATGAAAAAACTTGGATCAAAAACCTCAGCCTGAGGAAAGATCTGAATGAGATACAACAGACACTGTCTCAGTCAGGAAAATGATGGGTGAGTTTTTACAGACGCCCCAGAAAGTGCTCTGTGCAAGGGCCGAGTGAGGTGTAGCCCAGGGGTAGAACAGTTGAGCAGCATCCGACACAGGGCCCTGGGGAGAGAGCAGTTTTAGCTACTTTGATTTCTATTCTTTCCAAAAGTGCCTGCAGGTGTCAAGGCTTGGCAAGTGTCTGCTCTTTGACTGCCTGGCAAGCCAGAGGGTCCCCAGAAGCATGCTGACCAGAGACAAAACGTCTCCCCCCTGAGCACTGCTTCAAGTGAACCTTGTCCTTTACCTCCTGAGTTTTCTCCAGTCCTAATGGCTCTGTAATCATCGCGTTCACTTGTTTACCCAGTTCTAAGAAAGTGACACTTTTCTCCCCAAGTCCGGTTTTGATTGATGAAATCTGCCAATGCTGCCCCCAGGCCACACCCGCGGACACTGGTGACTAGTCTTAGAATACCTACTCTAACCAGGATTAGGCTGAGCATTTATATTTAAGTGGTATATTATTCCTTGGGTGCTAGGATGGAGCCCAGGACCTCAGGCATACTAGGAAGGCAAGAAGTCTACCACTGAGCTAACCCCGAAAGTGGCGACCTTCCCAGCTCTACAATGCAGTGATTTTTGCTCCTATTTTTCCTTCTTTTCACCTCAGAGAAGGAATTTTAATTGAGATAGGCAGATAACTCCAGGTCACACAACAAAAAATAATGCGATGTCTGACTCAGAGACCAGGGTCCTGCTCTAAGAAAGAAAGCACCCCCCTCGTCCCCCCAGTTCACCTGGTAGGAGGCAATGTCTGCCTGATGCCGGTCCTCCAGCTCAGAGCGCTGCCTCTCCAGTGAATCCTTGGTGCTCTTCAGGGCCTCCAACTCTGTGGTCCTGGCCTGCAGCTGCCGCCGGTACTCAGTTATCTCCTCCTGGGCCGAGCGCATAGCATCTGTATTCACCTTGGCTGCCTCTGAGAGTCGGTCCAACCTCACTGAACAGGGGAGGAACCAGGCCACAGGTTAGGCACACCTGAACTTGGGTTCCAATGCTCAGATTTGGAAGGTGATACAACCTGGGTTGAAGATGTGCCAAGATGTTAATCCACCCCATCCTGTAACAGTCAAGTAGCTCTTGTCCAAAGCTACCCAGCTAGTGAGTGGCAGGATTCAAATCTAGTCTATTTGGCTTTGGAAAACAGACTGTCTCCCTCAACTGGATCCATAAAGCACTCAGGAGAAAGGAAGCCCCCCCCCCCCCGTTCCGGTTCCGGTGCCTGGCAGAGCTCCTTAACTGAGAGGTTCAGCTGGGGTCTGCAAGCTTGCAGAAGAAGTTAACATTCCTGTGATCTCACCAGCACTAAAGCTGTGGGAGTGATCAGTTACTACGTAGCCATGGTAACTTCCTGCAGATTTCTGCAGAGTCCAAGGTCACAGGGGAGCCCAAGGCCTGTGTACCAGCCCTTTGTCCCTTCCTCTACCTGACTTCATTCTCTAGCACATCCTGAGCCAATCGAAGCCGTACATTGGCCTCTGTCACCAACTGGCTCCTCAGATCTTCCAGTGGAAATCAGAAATTGGTCTTAATCTCTGGAAAGGGAACATCCCACATACAAGAGCTGATCCTGGCGGAAAGAAAGAGGCCAGCTGGTGGGAACATATATCCTTGGATGCTCTGCTTGGGTGAAGGGCAAACCTAAAAGAAGAGGTCCCCTCTGGGAGGAGCCTTGCTGCAGAGATGGGGGAAGGGACGGTTCACCGCCACTGCAAAGGCGTGGAGCATGAAAGGGAATTCCGAGCATCCAAGTCCCAGTATTCCTGGTTTTGCCTGATGTTAGCAAACTTAACCACCCAAGTGAGGATTCTCAGCTATTGTGGATCGCAGACAGCTTTGGAAAGCACCTGAGCTCTGCACTCTCCTCCCGAACAATGCACAGGTATAAGGACGATGTCAGGAAGGATTGTGCATCTGAGACTAGGAAGCCCAGTTTCTCCATGCCCCAGTCCCAAAAAGAAACAAGAACCAGAGAGGGTCAATGTGGTCAAGGTCACCCTGCAGCTACTGGGCAGTGCTTCAGGGCAACTGCAGTCTAGCTGACTCAGAACCCCTGGAAGTTGGGAGAGAAAGGGAGACGGGAGGTCCCAGCTTTTGAGAGGAAGAAGGGTATATTAAATAGCACACACAGAAGCTGCCTCGGCCACTTGCAGTCATGAGATCCACGTGCTGGTTCCAAACTGGCCAGAAAGGGCGTGAAAATGGAAGGCTCCTTTCATCTTACACAGCAGATTACTAACGTGGGGACATTGTGCACCGAGCGAGTAGTGGTGAGAAGAATGGTAGGTGTCAGCAGAATACTCCTGCCCCACCCACCCTCTGCGCAGGGTGCGACAAAGGGTGGGCAGAGCTGACAGCGCAAGCGGGTGCTTGATACCCTGGGTCTAGATGGAGCTTGTTCTGTTCAAAAGAGAGACTGGTCTGAAACTGGGGTCCGCCTAACGGTGTGAGGAGCAGAGGGGTTAGCCCAGCGTTTAAGTACGGACATAAATAATGTGGAAGGAGGCAACTAAAGGAAAATGCACGGTTGGGGCGCCCCAAGGGAGGGCCAGAGTAAAAAAACCGCTACTTTATGAGGTGGCATGCACTTTGCAGAGGGTCCAGCTACTTCGAGGCGGACTCCTCTACCGGCTCGTTGGTGAACCCATTGGCTGCTCACTGCCCCGCCAGGAGGGGGCGACCCCTTTCCCACCCCACGCGCCCGCGCACCTCGGAACCACTCCTCCGACTGCAGCGTGCTCTGCACCGCATGGCCTTCGAGCTGCGCGCGGATCTCCCGCAGCGCCGACGTCACGTCGCACTTGAGAGCGTCGCGCGCCTCGGCGTGCGCCTGCGCTTGCGCGGCACCGCAGCCCTGGATCTGGCCGAGCAGCTCGCCCACCTCCTCCTGGTGGTGGCGCCGCAGGTAGCCGCACTCCTCCTGCAGCGCCTGCGCCTTCTTCTGCAGCTCCACGCGCGCGGCTTCCGCCTCCTGCGCGAAGCGCGCCAGGGCGCGCGCCGCCGCCTCCGCCTCCTCGCGCTGCCGGGCCTCCTCGTCCAGTCGCTGTCGCACGTGCGCGATGTCCTCCAGCAGGTGCTCCTGCTCCAGGCGCAGCTGGCCGCGCGCCGCCCCCAGGCGCAGCACGGCGCCGCGCATCTCCCGCACCTCGCGCTCGTACAGCTCGCCCATGGCGGCGCGGCCGGCTTGCTGCTGCCGCAGCGCCGCCGCCTCGCCCTCCAGGCTGCGGTTGTGCGCCTCGAGCTGCCTCACCTTGTCGATGTAGCCCGCGAAGCGGTCGTTCAGAGCCTGCAGCTGCTCCTTTTCGCTGCGCGCCGCCGCCGCCGCCACCACGCAGCCCTCCGGCCCGTTGCTCAGTGTGTCTAGTGAGTCGGTGCTCGAGGCGGCGCCGGCTCCGCGGAAGCGGCTGGGCGAGGCGGACACGGAGCTCACCGACGTCCGCGCCCACGAGTGGAAGCCGCTGGAGGAGCCGGCGGCGGAGCGCGTGCCGCCGGTGCCGGCCTTGCGGCCCAGCGCGTAGTGCAGGCCGCCGCCTCCGTGCAGCGGCGCGAACGGGGCGCCCAGCAGCGCATCGGCGCCGCCGAAGCTCATCATGGCCGGAGCAGGTGCGGCCGCCGGCAGAGCGGGGAGAGCGGGGCCGGGACGGGGCGGGCAGCACTGCGGCAGCTCCGGGACGCCGGCTCTTTTATATCCGCGGTGCCCGGGTCCGGCCCCTCGGCAGTGGGGGGCTGGGGAGGAGGGCCCCGCCCTCTCCACCTCCTCCCCCGCGGCCCCGGGCCGACCGGCTCCGCCGCAGTGAGAGGGGCGGGGCGGGGGGGGGGACCCAGGAGTGAAGGGGAATCGTCGCATCGTCAGTGAAGCCTCCCGAGGTCAGACCAAGGAGTAAAGGACTTCCGGAACGGACAAGTGCAGACCTCCAGGTGCATGTAGGAAGACCCTTTTGGTGTGCTCAGAATTAAGAGAGGGCCCCCGAAATCGGGACAGGGGCTTGAGAACTGACGGGGCAGGGTGCCTGCGGGTTGAAGCGATGGGAGACTCCGCAATGATTAGTATGGGAGGACCCCTCATGAGAGGCGACACAAGGTTCCCTAATAGTTAGAGGACCTTGAGATGAAGAGTGCAGAGACCGCAACCACCCTCAGAGGGATTCTGAACGGCATTGCACCGTGGACGCTACCGAGAATAAATGGGGACCCCCTAGCTGAAGGTGCTGTGTTCCCCTGATAGGTAGAGCGGCCACCCCAGAGGGGCTTAAGGAACTCTAGAGCTGACTTCGGGTAGGAGAGGGGGACATGGAGTTTGAAAGGACTGCAGAGCTACCCTGAGGGAACACGGGAAACTGCAGAAGGAGAAAGAGAACGCAGGATGGGAGGGGAACTTGATGTTCTCCAAAAACTCCAGTGACCGAGACTGCGAGTGGAGACTGGCTTGCCCAGCAAGGGAAACTGTCGGCGAAGAAGCAGAGGGTCCCTGAGTAGGCAGCAAGCCCCTGCCCTGAGTGTGGACCCAGAGAACACCCAAGCCAGGTTCTGCAAACGGGGCGGAGGGGGTGGGAGGTCAGCTCTGTGCTTTGCTAGCTGAACGACCTTGTACAAACTGTGTTCTCTCCCGCTTGGTTTCCCCTTGTGTACAACGGACAAGATGCAACTCCAAACCCCCAAGTGCCCCCAGGAGCTTCCTTCTTGGGGGGGGGTGTCTCTGGCTGAATTTGGGAAGGGAGCCCACATTGCCAGTGGATATCTGGCACCCACGTTCCTACACCCGAGAAATTTGTCTTCCTTTCTTCCTTGTCTGGCCTTTCTCAGTTTCATCTTGCCGTCTCACTCCTATCCCCAGTACCGTAGGCATCCATCATGATCCCGAGGAAGTGGTGGGGTTTCTCAGTACCAGAGTCCACCACCCTCATGAGCCCCACAGAGGATTCGGGTAAAAGGGCTGCGGAGGGGCTCAGACTTGGCGGCCTTGCTTTGTTCTATGGGTTTGGTTTTCCGGTCAAATGCGGTGTTAGTGGAGACTTCCGGCCGCTATCGCTTCAGCACCAGGGACAGAGATTACTGGGCAGGGTTGATCTAGGTCTTACAGAGTGGGCAGGTCTGAAGCTCTTCCAAACTTCACCCCTGTGCTGTGCCGATGGGAACTGGGGAGGGGTGGATGAGTCATTCGGCAGGTAGGTCTCAAAGTGACCTACCCTTGCATGTGAGTGACCCACCCCTGCATGTCCTGTCCAGTTCGTGGCTTTCTGCGAAGCTCTCCCTGTCAACCTCCTCTGCCGGGAGCAGACACGGACTATGCCTGCTGACAAGCGCCGGAACTGGTGCAGACGTCCTCAGATCAGAACTTCTCCCAGGAAATTACCTCAAGTCCCACTGCACCCCAGGTTACTGTGGTTCTCTTTCTAGCGGGATCCTCGAGACAGAAACTGACAGACTGACCCAAAAAAGACCCCCGCCTGCCCCTCTTTCCCTGCGCTCTCATTTGTCCCCAGCCCCTGGCTGCAGCCTGACCCTCAGAGCTGGGGAAGAGATGGCACTGTCCCTTTAACCACGTTGTACTGGAAGGAGAGTGCACTGGGGAGGAGGGGGAGGGAGTTTCTAGTTTCTCATGGCGAAGCAGAACATGATGAAGCATTTTCCTGATTTAAAGGTCCAGTCATACCGCTGTCGGCAGGGGCAGGAAGGCCTGTGGAGTGGCTTGTCGAGGCACTGAAAAATGTCGGGGGGGGGGCCTGGGGAGGGACCCCCTGGCATCCAGACTGTTCTCCATTCATTTTTCATCCTGCTTGAATTCTGCCATTAGATCTTTGTTCCTTTGAGTCTCTTCAGCTGACTGCAGAATGCGCATGCTTTTCTTGGGTGTGGGACGTCTGATAAGGTTGATAGCGAAAAGGAATGTAGGGAATGTGGGGTGAAAGGGTGACCATCGGATTGCAGGTAACATATGGATTCTAAGAGGCACCAGGTGTGACTTTTGTGTCTATAAAATGGGCATTAATGCTGGAACCCTGGTCAATCCTTCAGAAAGCTGTCTGTGGCCTCCATCACTCTTTGCTTAGGTCATCATCCCCTCCTGGGTTCTGTGGTCCCCAATGATAATCCCTGCAGTGTCCTTACCAATCTGTCCTGGGTCCTGGGTTCTGTGGTCCCCAGTGCTAATCCCTGCAGCATCCTTACCAATCTGTCCTGGG